GGTATGTTAACTTTGGATCTTAGGCAAATTATACAGAAGTCATTGGCGAACTTTTTACATTCATGCATATATAAGACAAATATTTTAACCCTCCGTTTGCGGTACCCAGAAAGCAAACAGTGTAACGCACCTACTTTGCACGGGTTATTTCCATGCCGGTAAAAAGTTTCCTATAGACGTAAACGCGGGTAATTCCCGTGAAAACGTGATAGGTTCCTGGGGGACACCGCGAGTCCCCCTTACTGCTGCTATATGTAATATCAATATTTAGTATGATGATGAATATGTATGTCATTTTGTATTATATATACCAATAAAGTCTTTTAAAACTCATCAGTGTCGTTCTAACCTTGCTGTAGTCAACATGGGTTCTTTTTGCTCTTTGTTCAATCGAGTCTATTTCAAGATACTAAGATCCTTAGCTCGCAAGATGCATTTCAATATCAATTGGTCTACCATGGTTCGAGAATTCAATCGAGATATTACGCCTAAGAACCGAGTAGAAGCTCTCACGCTTATTTTTGCTGAAGCTTACACCAAGTATAACATGGGAAGATTATTGGCCTGCATAAGATTTGCCGAGGAACTTCAACTCACCGAGAGGGAATGGGAACGACTGTTTCAGTACCTCTTTTAAGAGAACACGTTCTCGAATTGGATCATTTCTGTCTCTACCTTCTAGCTGTGCGGATAGAGGATGGGTTGTCTTCCACCATCTTACCAAATTGGTTTGGACCGAATCTTCAACCGAGTTCGTTGCATACTGGCCTGCTGTGGGGGTCAGATTATAGTAGAAAACTCGGAATTTACTGATGGAGGACGAACTACAGAAAATCTACTACGATCTCGAAAACGGCGCAAGTTTTTCGGGTGTGGATGCCCTTTACCGTGCTTTAAAACAAAAAGGGTTCAAGAAAGTAACCCATGAACAAATCGAAGATACAACAAAGGATACAAGTATTGGTTGACCTGAATTGATGTTCTGAGTAAATACGGTTGGGCCATTCCTTTAAAGACAAAGACTGGACGAGAGATAACAGACGCTTTTGCCAAAATCTTGAAATCTGGAAGAAAACCGAAGAAGTTGCAAACGGATAAAGGAACTGAATTTTTAAACCGGATTTTTCAGAATTATTTGAAAAAAAAAGGCATCCATTTCTTCACTACTCATTCAGAGACGAAATGTGGGGCGGTAGAACGTTTTAATCGTACAATAAAGACAAAACTCTACAAGTATTTCACCTACAAGAACACACATCAGTACCTCGACATCCTTGCTGATCTACTCAAATCGTACAACCGAAGTTTTCATCGAAGTATTCGAATGAAACCCATCGAAGTCACGAAAAAGAATGAAAATGCGGTATGGCATACCTTGTATGGAACATCAATAGCCGCTCCCGTGCGTTTTCGATTTCAAGTCGGGGATCAAGTGAGAATCAGTAAAGCTAAGAAAATATTTGACAAAGGATATAAAGCCAATTGGAGTATCGAAATATTTACTKTAACAGAGCGAATTCCGAGAAATCCACCTGTCTATCGTCTGAAGGATCAACAGGGAGAAATGATTGAAGGAGTATTTTATGAACCAGAAATTCAGAAAATAGAAAAAGAAGAATGATGTGTATCAGATAGAAAAGGTCTTGAAGCGACGTAAACTCAAGGGTGGAGTCGCTGAGATGTTTGTGAAATGGAGAGGGTATCCAGATAAGTTCAATTCCTGGATCCCAGCAAACCAAGTTCAAAAATTGTAATYCCTTTGAATTAACCAATAAACATTCTTTAAACTCATTTGTCTTGTTTCTATATAATGCTAGAGCAATACTTGCGCGCCTTCATATCACGCCAGTCGTCGTTATGGATAACACTCAGTTTTACCTCTGGCTCCCCTCCAATAGCAGCATGGATGTTTTCCCTTCCAATACCTTATCGGAATTTAGAGTTCGCCTACCGCAAACCATTACCCTCACTGATGAATGGGAGGTGGCTTTAACCGAAATTCATTACCCCCATAGCTGGAATAATGTGCATGAACATTTTTGGAATCGGTTTTATATCAAACAAGGAGATGATATCAAAGTCTATATTGTCCGCCAAGGTCATCACTCTTCAGTGCAGAACATTGTAGACGCCATGAACAATCTAATCGACAACACAAGGCATAAAGATAAAGTGAGGTTTTCTTACGACACACTAACTCGAAAAATAACGATTCATCTACTAGATAACCGTTCAATCTTTTTCAGCGATATTGGAACTACGCTCGGATTCACAAAAGAAAAATTGATCTCCGAGACTACCACCGCCTCACGAGAAGTGGATTGGACTTAGGCTTTCATACCCTCTAGGYCTACTGTCAGCAGAAAACAATTCGAAAGTATCGAGGTCAATATTAAGCGCGACACAGGTGAAAAAATCTCATTGAAACTGGAAGAGTGTTGTTAACACTTCATCTCCGCAGAGCCTCACCGTACTTTCATTAAAGAGTAAAGATGCCTCATCCACGTTCGGAACATTACAAGAATTACTACCTTGAACAAGCTCAGCAGAAAGGAGGTAATCTCTCTGCCTTTCGCGGTGCTACGGTTCAACAGGGTTATGGATTAGGGTCTATCCTAAGAGGTCTTTATCGATGGGCAGTTCCCCATTTATCTTCCGGTATGAAAGCTGTAGGCCGTGAAGCCTTGAGAGGAGTTCTGAATGTAGCTCAAGATGTCTTAGAAGGTCAAGATTTGGAGGATTCTACAATGAAGAGAGTCAACGAAGCCGGAAAGAGATTAACGAATACCCAGAATGCCTCAGGAGCGCAAACAGGTGCCGGTCAAAAAGGTAGAAAGAGAAAGACCCCAGCTAAAAACGCCAGTTCACCTCCAGCCAAGAAGCAGAGAACATCAAAAGCGAAAAAGACGCCGTACAACTTCTTCCAATAATAATGGCTCACCCGACTCGATCTCAGCATTGCAGTAAATCGGAGTTGGATTTATTCCTGGCTCCGAGTGTGCAGACTAACATTGAACGAGGACAGTGGATTGAATATTTTTCTGTCTCAAACATTACCGATTCTGGTCCTATCGAATTTAACGTCTCAGGCAGTGGAGATGAGTTTACCGACTTGAGACAAACTTGGGTGTATAACAAAGTAATGATTACCAAAGCTAATGGAGCCGATCTAGCCGACGACGATAAAGTGGGACCCGTCAATCTCTTCCAACAGGCCATGTTCAGTCAAGTGGATTTGACTATCAACGATAAAATGATATCAACGTCTACCAACACCAACCCTTATCGAGCTATGATCACCACCCTCATGACTTATGGATCTGATGCTAAGACCTCTCAACTTGGAGCAGAACTCTTTGTAAAAGATACGCCAGGGAAAATGGATGCTGTGGATCCTTTAGCTCTAGCTGCTAATCGAAATTATGGTTTACATACCCGATATAAACACATCAAGGGGAGTTCTCCCTTTGAACTCATGGGACCTTTACATCTAGATCTGTTTTGTCAAGACCGGTTACTGCTCAACGGAGTGACGCTACGTATCAGACTCAATAGAAGCAAGAACAGTTTTTGTCTCGTCTCTTCAGAAGCGGATGCCAATTATAAGCTGGTTATCTTACAGTCCACGTTGTATATCCGTAAAGTAAAGATTTACGACGATCCTTTCCTGGGTATTGCTRCTGCTTTAGAACAGGCACCTGCCCTCTACGCCATTCGAAGAGTTGAATGCAAAGCCATGTCCATTTCTACGGGTCAAATGTCTTTCTCCCCCGACGATGTCTTCTTAGGATCTATTCCTAAACGGATCATTCTGGGCTTGGTAGAAAACACAGCCTTTAACGGTTCATTCAACAGAAACCCTTTCAATTTCCAACACTTCAAAGCAACTCAAGTTGGAGTCTACGTCAATGGCGAAAGTTACCCCATGAAGGCATTGCAACTCAATTTTGATCAAAACTTGTACCTCCCAGGATATATGAGCTTGTTTTCTGGTACGGGAAGTCTGTTTCATAACCAAGGCAATCAGATCAGTCGCGAGGATTACCCCAACGGATATACACTGCTCGCCTTTGATTTGAGCCCCGATCTTTCCGCTGGACCTCACATTTCCCCTATAAAGCAAGGCAACCTTCGCATCGGCATTCAGTTTGCAGAACCCCTGCCTGTGACAGTCAACTGCATCATCTACGCCGAGTTTGATTCTTTAATTGAGATTGATGAGAATCGAAACGTGACTTTTAACTGGTCGAGTTAAACATGAACACGAGACAGATTGCGGTAGTATTAAAAAGGGATCCCAACACCAACCCTATCTTTCAAGGAGTTTTCCCGTCAGACCAACTGCCGAACAAGATCAAGCATTACCCAGCAGCCTTTGTAGCCAACGTCGACCCTAAAGGACGCCCCGGTTCTCATTGGTGTGCGTTTTATTTCACTCAAGATAAAGAGGGRGAATTTTTTGATTCCTATGGATTGAAGCCTCAAGAGTACAGTCAACACTTTCTTCAGTTTTTAGAAACCAATAGTTATCGTTGGACTTATAATCATCAAGACTTTCAAAGTCTAAATTCTAATGTGTGTGGACATTATTGCTTGTATTATGTAATCAATCGTTGTCGTAACGTATCCATGAAAACTATTGTTAACCGATTTAGTAAAAATACAAGAAAAAACGATCGTTTAGTGTATTATTTTATCACTAAGTATTTTGGATACTTATACAAGTATCTTAGGAAAAGGCTTGTCAACCATCAAAGTGCCAGACAAAAATTAATAAACACCATGTAACGATCAAACTAGTATTTTATTTGTTCTCACTACAGCTACACACAGTTATAGAGCAAAATTAAGCCATTGTTGACGCATCTGTTTCTTAGGGTTACGCGTTGCACTTCGTATAGGACCTTTTACGGTTTTTCTTCCCSTCAGGGGTGTGGTAGGGGTAATCCATTGGTCATCTTGTTCTGGTATAGGGTTAGACCTTGCTTTAAATTCTCTGAGAGCGGTTCTTCTCCTTTCATTTCTGACCAGATCTTCTGGAGCATTCATCTTGGCAAGTCCTTTAGCAAACGTTTCCCATCCAAGAGGGTCAATACCTTTGCGCGCTCGTAAAAAATCCCCCACTAGATCTCCAATGTGTGAACCAGACAAGGGCTTATCTTGGTAAATCAACTGGCCACTACGATCCCACTTCATGATATTAGGGTGTTCACGAATCTTGTTTTGATTAAGAGTTTCCCCCTTCCTTTCAAGGTCTTTGGTAAAGCCCTTAAAATATCTCGTTCGATCTTATCATCTTCTTCCTGCTCTTGTGGTTCTAAGGAGGGTTTCTCTTGTTCTTTCACTTCACTTGGGATCGGAGAATCCAGTTTCACCTTCAAGGGATGATCTTTCCGCTGATTGTAATACGTCAAGTAATTTTGCAAATTCTGAACATATTCCCGCACTTTTTCTTCATCAGTTAATTCTTTGCTTTTCAAGACATCTTGAATATCATGATCCAAATCCTTGAGTCTGGAAGTCAAAGGTGTGGTGTTGACTTTTTGCCTTTGTTGCAATCTCTCCAAAGTCTGTTCAGGGACCAGAACCATCTTTCTGGTATGATTCATTTTACAAAAATTGTTCAAAGACAGCTAAGGCAGGTGGGAGTAATACAGATAGAAAATTACCTCCTTTCTGGATCAAAACCTTTCGATTCTCTGGTAACGCTAATTCTTTATCCACTAATTTCAGCAAAGGAGTTTTAAACTCGGTCAATTTAGCTTTTTCCTTTAGAGTGATAGGTACTGTAGATTTTAACACATTATGCACACACTCGCAAAGAGTCTGGATTAACGAATCGTCAGCTTCTTTCAGGATAGATTTCACTTGGTTAGGTTTACTAGTAGAGAATACCTTCAAGTGATGGTAGTTGTTTCTCGCACGGCGACTCATGGTCAACTGAATAAACTTCCTTGAGTGCTGATCTTTTTATCCCTRCTTGACGTAAGCGTATTGCGTATCGTCCGGAAAGATGTTGGTTCGTAATCGAAAATCCTCTAGGGTCTGGGGCTTGAGATCACAGAATAAGTACCCCCGAAAAGTTTCCCCGAAAAAATATCGAGCAACCTCTTCTGCTAGAAGAAAAATATCTAACTGTACGCAAAAAAATAACGTGCAAAGGTTGAGCTAAAAAATAAATATCATGCAACCAAAGATCCTGGAACCCCCCTCCCCCCCCTCATCAATTATCTAATGGTCCATCCCTAAAAGCCAAGTGTAATGACAACGGATTCAGATGATGAAAGGAAAAGACACGAAAAAGCAAGATGCCACGAATGTTGCAAGTGGGGTTTTGYCAAAGAAGCAAATGAACTAAGTGTAGATAGTTATTACCAAAACTAATTTTCTGTGTTGCTAGCTTTAWAAAGAGAAGTTACTCAGTATCATTATCATTAAAGTGTGACCCGCGAGGTTTTGATGTCTCGTTCGCCCGACTTAACTGTCTTATATTGATTCAATCGAATCCCCTAAAGGATGAGTAGAAACCTCCTCCATAATCTGAAAATAATAATAATTATGATTATGATTATGATTATGATTATGATTATGGTGATGATGATTGATGATGTTGATGATGATTGATGATTTTGATGATGATTGATGATGTTGATGATGATTGATGACGTTGATGATGATGATGATGGTGATGATGATTGATGACGATGACGATGACGATGACGATGATGAAGATGATGATGATGATGATGATGAACCACCCAACAAAAATAAGAACGAACCCGCCAAAAATAATAAAACA